TTTCTCCTCATGAACATCTCACTTGATTGTCTTTTGATGACAACAGTAGGAGAAGCTCATTAAGTCTCTTTCTGCAGCCTCCAGTCATTTTTGTGGCTCTTTTTTGCACTGTCTCCAATTTTTCAGCCCCAGGACAGGACACAGTCGGTTGCACCGATGCCACGTGCAGAGCTGTAATCCTTCCCCTGCTCCAACTTCTCTGTGTCCCTGTGTTCCAGAACACAGCGCTATAGTCTGTGGGCCAGGCCTACATTTCCAGTTCTGAGTTGATCGTTTTCTATTGGACTCCATTCATCGTCGGCTAGTCACTGCTCTGCCAGTCTTTAGCACCTAAATGAACTCCACAGGCATTTCCTATTTGCTTCCTGATCGGTGATCATAAACGCTGAACAGCTTCAGGCTGAGATCTGATCCCTGCAGAGCCCTGCTCGAAATAGCCCTGTTCACTGACTATTTCCCATTGATAGCAGCTTTCCAAGATCTGTCCGTGAGCCAGGGTCTAGTCCATCTTTCCTCCATTCCAGTGATACTGTACAATGTTCATTTTTCCCCTGAATGTTTTCCATTACTAAATCAAATGCCTCTCAGAAATCAAATTGCGCGTCCGCGCAGTTCCCTTAATCGGCCAAACATTTACTCTCATCAAAGGATGGAATTAGACACATGCGGTTTTCCATAAGCCCTCTTGTTCACTGGCATTAATTATATTCCTTGTTTGGTTAAAAACAATCCCATACCAGACTCTCCATTGCTTCCTAGCCTCGTTAAATCTGTTCTTTAAAACATTCCCTTCATTGTTATACTTTATAGTTAACATACAACTGCCCTGCATTTACGTTTTTATTTTATTTTTTATCTTTCGGGGGACTGATGCTACTTGATTGTGTACTATTGGTTCCCAATGAGCTGTGGGGGGGATTGGTTTGGTTAGTTTGTAACTCTGGTGTTGGTAAGGCTAATGTTCTGCTATACATGCTATTGAAAATCCTCAAATGGGAGAGCACATCTACACAGCAGAGGTAAAGCCAAAATAATCTAGGCAACTTCTGCAGAAAAGGACCTGGGGATTACAGTAGATGAGAAGCTGGATACGAGTCAACAGTGAGCCCTTGTAGCCAAGAAGGCGAATGGCATATTAATTTGCATTAAGAGGAGCATTGCCTGTAGATCTAGAGAAATGTTTATTCCCCTTTATTAGGCTCTGGTGAGACCACACGTGGAGTATTGCATCTAGTTCTGGGCCCCCCACTATAGAAAGGATGTGGACATATTGGAGAGGGTCCAGCGGAGGGCGACCAAAATGATGAGAGGGCTGGAGCACATGACCTATGAGGAGAGGCTGAGGGATTTGGGTTTGTTTAGTCTGCAGAAGAGAAGAGTGAGGGGGGATTTGAGAGCAGCCTTCAACTTCCTGAAGGCTGGAGAGAGGCTGTTCACAGTAGTGACGGATGCAGAACAGAGAGCAAGGGTCTTAAGTTACAGTGGGGTTGGATATTAGGAAAAGCTATTTTCCTAGGAGGGTGGGAAGCACTGGGATGGGTTCCCTAGGGAGGGGATGGAATCTCTATCCCTAGAGGTGTTTAAGTCTCAGCTTGACAAAGCCCTGGCTGGGTTGATTGAGTTGGGGTTGGTCCTACCTTCGGCAATAGGCTGGATTTTAGGACCTCCTGAGGTCTCTTCCAGCTCTATGGTTCTATGATTCTAACTTGAGCTACATCAATTGCGTTGCTGAAGTCAAAATAGCTTTATTTGGCTTTTGGTGCTGTCTACACAGCAGGATGTCTGAGTTAGAGCACTCTTCCTCCGACTTCCCTTCCTCCTCGTACAATGAGGGTTACAGGAGTTGGAGTAAGAATTCCTCCAGCTTGACATTATTCCGACATTATGTCAAAATAACTGCTTGTAGTGTAAACGTGTGCTATGTTATTTCAGAATAACATCAGTGAATCTGAAACAAAGCTGCTTTGTAGATGTAGCCGGAACGACCTGGAAACTATTTCACCACTTCATGGTAATTTATTTCGAGTTTTCTCCCGTTGGGTAGATGTGTGACCAAATGGGGCACATGTCCAGAGCAGGATGTCCCGTACCCCATCCCTCCGGCATCTGAACTTTGTGTTTGCCACTGCAGTGATGTACAGGTGTTTCCATGGAGCTGCTATAAATGGCATGCAGGTCTTTGGTCCAGGTGGGATGTTTCCCCGGGCACATGGTTTGGCAAAGTTTTGCTTTTATCTACTCTGAGATATTGAGCAAATGGGTGACTAGGGAAATCCCTACAGTATAGACCCTCGAGCTTGGGTGTCATTACATTAAGGAAGGGTGATTGCTGACCAGTATTCACTCCTATTTCTGCTCACCTTATATACAGTAGCCCAGTGTCTGTGACTCTAACACTGTAACGTTACAAGTCAACTCTAGGGGGCGCTGTTGCCTTGCGCCGTGGGGCTCGGCTGAGTTCTGCTCTGCTCAGCTGGGCCGCCATGGGGGAGCAAGAGGCACAACTGGCCATTTGGGCTCCTCTGCGGCGGCCCGGCTGAGCGGTGCAGAACTCAGCCGAGTACCACGACAGGAGGCAAAGGGGGGCGGGGCAGTGATGTACACGGCCAGGCCCCACCCCCTGGCTGTGTACATCACCACCCCGCCCCCTTCCGCTCCCGCCGTGCTGCTCAGCTGAGTCCTGCGCCGCTCAGCCGTGCTGCATGAGGAGCATGGAGCCCAGACAGCCGCTTGCACTCCTTGGTCCTCCGAGTGAGAGGCAGGGGGGGGGGGAGAAGAGAAAGAGAGATGGAGAGAGAGGCAGGAGATGGAGGAGAGCTGAGAGAGAACAGGGAGAGGCAAGGGGAGGAAGAGGAGGAGGAGAGAGAGGGCGGGGGAGGCAGGAGGAGGAGGAGGAGAGAGAGAGACGGACATGGAGGAGAGTCCCAAAAAATCCCGTTGTATGATGGGTTATTGGCTAGAGTCTATTAAGGTTTCCCACGTCACATACAGGAATTATTGATTCATGGAGAACTATCAGATATGGAATTGGCAATAGCCACGTCAGTTGCTCATAATTCATAAAAACAAAAGACTATAAGAACGGCCAAACTGGGTCCGACCAAAGGTCCATCTAGCCCAGGCTATATCTAGACTGCAGACATCTTTTGGAAGAAGCTTTTCTGGAAGAGATCTTCTGGAAAAACTTCTTCCAAAAGAAAGCATCCACATTGCCAAAGCACATTGAAAAAGTGATCTGCTTTTTCAACAGATAGTGTCCACACTGAATGGACGCTCTCTCGCATGTCAGCTGTGATTACTATGGGCGGAGTGGCCACCAGGGCACCTGTGCTTTTTCCTCTTTCCTCTTCTTTCGAAAGAATTCCCTCTTTTCCATCCACATGTGCCTTTGTCTGAAAGCCTTCAGGAAAAGGCTTCTTCCTTGTAGATGCCCCAGAAACAGGAAATCATCAAGTGATCTCCTGTCATCCAATTCGAGGCCCTGACAGACAAAGGCTAGGGACACCATTCCTACCCATTTTGGCTAAGTAGTATTGATGGATCTTTCCTTCATGAATTTATCTAGTTTCTTTTGAATCTTGTTAAAGTCCTGGTCTTCACAACATCCTCTGGCGAGGAGTTCCACAGGCTGACAGTGTGCTGCATGAAGAAAAACTTCCTTCTGTTTGTTTTAAACCAGCTAGCTACTAATTGCATCTGGTGACCTCTAGTTCTTATGTTAGGGGAACAAGTAAATATTGTTTCCATATTCACTTTCTCCATAGCTATCAGGACAGCTCAGGCCTCTATCATATCCCCCCCAGTCTCCTCTTTTCTAAGCAGAAAAGTCCCAGTATTTTTTATCTCTTTTCAGATGGGACCCATTCCAACCCTGTAATAATTTGTGTTGCCTTTTTCTGAACTTTTCATATGCCAATAGGTCTTTTTTGAGAGGAGGTGACCACATCTGTAGGCAGCGTTCAAGACGTGAGCGTACCATGGCTTGATATAGAAGCAAGACGAGATTCATTTCTCTGAATAATGAAAATGTTATTTTTTTCAGTGTGTGAAGGCCAGTCCAGACCAGACTCCAGTAGTGCTTGTAGTGTCATGTCTTACACATACTAACACAGTCTCTCCATCCAGGTATTTGTGTTGCGACCATCACCCTGGAGCCTGAGCATATAAAGGAAGTCAGGGGAATGTGAGGTATGTGCAGGAGACATTGTTCTCCCTCAGAGCTGGACGCCTTCTTCCCGACTCCATGTCAGATTCCAACACCAGCGACTTCACCAACCCCTCCTCCTTCATCCTGCAGGGCATTCCCGGCCTGGAGGAGGCCCATGTCTGGATCTCCATCCCCTTCTGCACCATGTACGTCATCGCAGTCTTGGGGAACTTCACCATCCTGTTCATTGTGAAGAGGGAGCCGAGCCTCCATGAGCCCATGTACTATTTCCTCTGCATGCTGGCCATCACCGACCTGGTCCTGTCTACGTCCATCCTGCCTAAAACGCTGAGCATCTTCTGGTTCAATTCCAGGGAGATCGATTTCAGCGCCTGCCTCACCCAGATGTTCTTCATTCACTGCTTCATAGCAATAGAGTCTGGGATCTTCACGGCCATGGCATTGGATCGCTACGTGGCCATCTGCTATCCCCTGCGACATTCCACCATCCTGACAGACCCTGTGGTGGCCAAGATAGGCCTGGCTGTGGTGCTGCGCAGTGGCGTGCTCGCTTTGCCCACTCCCTTCCTGGCAAGACGGTGGCCCTATTGCCGAACCAACATCATCTCTCACACGCACTGCGAGCACATCGCCGTGGTGAAGCTGGCCTGCGCCGACACTCGCCTCAGTAGTTACTATGGGCTCTCTGTGGTGTTCTTAGTCACTGGAGTGGATGTGTTTTTTATCACCATGTCCTACGCCCAGATCCTCAGGGCCGTCTTCAGCCTCCCCACCAAGGACGCCCGGATCAAGACTTTCGGGACCTGCGGCTCCCACCTGGGTGCCATCTTAGCCTTCTACATCCCATATCTCTTCTCCTTCCTCACGCACCGCTTTGGCCACAATGTGCCCTTACGTTTCCACATTCTCCTTGGCAGCGTGTACCTCCTGGTGCCCCCCACGCTGAACCCCGTCATCTACGGGGTGAGGACCAGACAGATCCGGGACAGGCTGCTACGTCTGTTAACTCAGAAAGGGACCTAAGGTTTTTGTCTTGGCTGCCTGGCTGGCAGACCCGGCCCCGTGCGGCTCTGGTGGGTGAGGAAGGGCTGGGCTCTGTTCCAGAGCTATTCAGGGCTTTCCGGGACGTAACACACTGTGTGAGTGCGACAGACTGCAGGAATCAGTCTGTGCACCTGTGATGGGGGCGGTCCCAGATGACCCCTTGGGGGAGGCCTCCTGGGGTGCTGACATGGCCCCTGCCACTCGCCTTCCTGCTCTCTGGGGCTCCTCACCTGCTGGGCCAGCTCCCTGGTGTCCCCCAGACAAGGCTCCGAGCTGAGATCCCTGCCCCCACCGAGAAGCAGCACAGACACTGAACCTCTCCAGGTCCAAGGAGAGCGCTGTTTGGGGCCCAGCCTCCTGAGCGAGCACTCCCCACATGGGATCAGACCCCAAAGAAATAGGTGAGCCCCCTTAAGCAATAAAACGGGGGATATGCACACTGGTGCCCCCCCGCCCCCCCGGAACCATTGTTTACACTGGGGTCGATAGAAAGTAAAAGTGATTTTATTAGGTACAAGCAGTAGGATTGAAGCGGCAATAAGTGAGAACAGGCCGAGCAAAGTAGGTTCCAAACCAAAAGATGCCAAAGCTCTTGGCTAATTCTCCATAGAAACCTCAGCACAAACTTACTCCAACTCCCCCTAGAGCCTCTTTTCCAGCTGCCCCTGCAAACCAGGCTGTCTCCCCACCCTGGGGTCTTCGGCTCCTTCCTTCAGGTGCAGCCCGGCCAAAAGACCCAGGCCTCTGCTCTCCTATTCTTTTGGTTAAGGAATTGAGGCTGCTCCCTACCAACCACTACTCAGACATGAGGACAAAAGAGATGGTTTAACCGTTGCTCATCAAGAAGTTGCAGGTAACACCCTCCGTGTCTCCCATTCACACATTTGAAACTCACAACGTAGTCCCTGCACCATAGGTCTAATTTCACACACCCCAGTGATACACACAACAGAGTAAGATAAAGAGAACCAGCAGACTGACATAAGGGTCGATGGGTGACACAAAATAATTTGCTCAAAGCACCTTTGGGTACGTCTAGACTACAGGCTTTTGTTGACAGAAGTTTTGTCGACGGTATCTGTCGACAAAACTTCTGTCGACAAAGAGCGTCTAGACACATTCAGTTCTGTCGACAAAGCAGCTTGCTTTGTCGACAAAACCCTGTAGTCTAGACACAATCCTACATGCAATGACACCTTCTGTCGACAGAACTCCGTCGAGAAAAGGTGTTATGCCTCGTAAAATGAGGTTTACCAGCGTCGACAAAACTGCTGAGTTCTATTGATGTTATGTCGACAGAACTCAGCGGTAGTGTAGACGCAGGTATCGTTTTGTCGACAAAACTCTGTAGTCTAGACACACCCTTTGAGTTACGTATATTCATGTCCATACGTCCATTACATAAAGCATGTTGGGGGGGGTCCGTCACAGCACTATTGTCATAGGGAAGCCTCTTCGAATTTCTGGTCACTTGACCTTTGCAGGCCTATGTCCTCCACCAAGGCCCAGCACAACTGTGCCTCTGCCTTCCTCCGCGGTCCCCTGCTCTACTCCTTTCTCCCATCACTCCCTGAATCATTTCCACCTCTTCCACGCCTGGCCATTGCGGATTTTGGAGTGGGGTGGGAGGAGAGGGACTTTTCCTGCGGTTCCCGTGGTGACTTAGGTCTGTGAGAGCGCTAATTTTTTGTCAGTTCAATTAGCAGTTACTTGACAGGAGCGGTGTCTCTACTTCCTGTATCCGTGTAATAAACATGCAGGAATAGTCATGATCAGTCATGTGCATGTTTGACGTCTGGCGGCAAGTCCCTTAAGGACGCTGGTTGGGCTGAAAATGGGAATGTACATTCTTGCTTTGTTATCATCGCTGCAGAGGGAGACTCCACCAGGCCTCTTGGTTCTTCCTCCGCTCTGAGAGGGCGGGGGTGGGGGGGCAACAGCTTTCTGGGTTCCTGGGCAAGGTTGGGGGGCCCAGCGCCCCGGCCCTCAGGCAGCAGGGCAGGAGTGGGGTAGCCACCTGTCAGCACTGCCCAGACCTCACCGCTCTGCCCTCTCCCCCTCAGCCAGCCCTTAGCATGATGGTTTCCAGGAGCCCCAGGCGTTTTCGAAATCCCAGGACACAGATGCTCCCTTTGTCCTTCCTCTCCTCGTCGGCAGGCCGGAGTGCGCTCCAGGAGGGGTAGACACACCGCAGGACTAGTGGGGGACAGGCCTGTCAGGCACTGCGGAGTGCAGGGGCAGCTGTACTCCTTCCCCAGGGCCCTGCCGCTGAGAGACAGCCAGCCCCTCCCCAACCCACGGTGCCAAGGCTCCGGCACAATCGTGCCCCCGCTCTCCAGCCTAGGACCCCAGGGCCGTGCTGTCCGGCCGTGGTCAGATGCCCGAGCTGTATGAATTCACTCCCCAGTCCCTTGCCCGGGGACCCACACTTCCCACCGGTCAGCCTCTGCACTGTAGGGCTATGACTACACTGGCGCGCTCTTGCGCCAGAAATATGCAAATTAGGCTAAGCGTGGAATATCGCCAAGCCTCATTTGCATATCTAATGAGCCACCGTTTTTGCGGAAGAGGCTCTTGCGCCAGAAGGAGAGTCTACACGGCCCCTTCTTGCGCAAGAAAAACCCTCTTGCGCGATGCCGTTCTACCTGAAAATAATCAGCGTGGCGGCATCGCGCAAGAGGGGTTTTCTTGCGCAAGAAGGGGCCGGGTAGGAAGAGGCTCTTGCGCCAGAAGGAGAGTCTACACGGCCCCTTCTTGCGCAAGAAAAACCCTCTTGCGCGATGCCGTTCTACCTGAAAATAATCAGCGTGGCGGCATTGCACAAGAGGGTTTTTCTTGCGCAAGAAGGGGCCGTGTAGACACTCCTTCTGGCGCAAGAGCCTCTTCCGCAAAAATGGTGGCTCATTAGATATGCAAATGAGGTTTGGCGATATTCCACGCTTAGCCTCATTTGCATATTTCTGGTGCAAGAGCGTGCCAGTGTAGACATAGGCCAGGTGTTTCCAGATGGAGACACCCAAATGAGAGCAGTGGGGTGATCCCACACCCTGGCATGTTCTAAAACCCTCAGATTCACCTTGAGAGGGGGGTGACAGCGTCCCCTCCAACGCCCTTGTGCCTCTCTCCGGCCCCAGCATCTTCCAGCCACTCCCCTGCCTCCCAGCCAACAGAGCAGGGGTCCGGTCCCCTCTTGGTGTGAGGGAGAAATGGCAGGACCTCTCGGCTCTGTCTGCCTCTGATAATCAGCCCCTCCATAGCCTTGGCCAATTCTTGTCACCCTCTCCCCACCTCGGTTTTCTTATCTCTAGAATGGGGAAATGTTACAAGTGACTTCCATTTGCTGGATATTTTGAAGAATGTTAAAAAACGTCTGCTGCACAGAATGGTGACAGCTACTGATTAGAACTGCTGCTGTCGGCTCCCTTCACGACAGCCCT